CTACTTCATCATATTTTTTCACCATGATGCAAAATGATTCAAAGGAAATTTTCAACATTAAAGTTGTAAATCTTGATGAATTCTAAAACTTTTTATTAGAGGGTGATGTCTAAAAAAATGATTAGATTTGAAGATATAAGCCCATGAAGGCATGGCATTTTCATCTAGCACTTAGAGAAATTTTCAACAGATTTTAGTCAGGATTTTATCCCAACTTCTTGGCCCTTTTCATATAGTTCCAAGATGATTTTGTCAAAATGGCCAACATTAAAGTTATAGAGGATGTTTCAAACTTTCCAAAACATCCAAGAGCATGAATTTATCATACTTGAGCTAGGAGATTCAAGGGCATGAAGTTGGGCATCCATCCTTGAATTACAAGTCCTTTTGTTGAAGAACACATAACAAAATCCTTATGCTAGGCTGCATAATATTATGTTGCAGGCCTTATAACTTGTCAATATCACCATAATTTAATGCTTACACCTACTCTTGAGCTATTACCCAAGTGTTTGAGCCATTGTCCAAAAGATCTTACCATTTATGGCATAAAGGCACCATTATTATTCTTGAAAAGCAAGCTTTTTGTACAAGATTTGTCTTGAGCCCATACCTTGTTTACTTCTGATTATACTCCACCATTAATCATGGAAGGTCACTCCTCTATACCAGAAACTTTGGTACTTGATCTTAGGACCATGGAATACTTGACATAGTTTGATATGTGCATCCCAACCAAACCATAACATGCTGTCTTGCAAACCTAATCAGCTCTTATTCCTAAACCTCTTGCCCATAAATAGAGGGAGCATTTGCAAAAGAAGGAGGCCAAAAAAATACAGAGATTCTTGTGTGTTGAAAATCCTCAAAACCCCCTTTACTCACAAAAAAACATAATTGTCCACAAAACCTCTACTCTTGAGTTTTGAAGTCCAAATCTTTGAACCTCTCACACCTTGCAAGTTATGTCCAAACAAACCAACCAAACACTCCACATACATCATATAGAAGTTGTTCAAACTCAAGAATAACTTTTGTAACATCACTATTTTCCAAACTAAAAAACAGCCACCTGCAACTTTACTTCTCCAACTCAAAATCAAAACACAAATTTCAGTTTCAAGGTATGTTTTCTTGACTTTGAACTCTTTATACAAACATAATTAGTGGTTCATTTGTGAAGATAAAATGAAGATATTATTGCCTTGAAGCTAACCATATGCTTACTTTTCATTTTCACTAACCCTATGTTGAGAACTGACCCATATATGAAGCAGAACAATGTTAGAAGTAAAAAACAACAGTATGAGTCGATACGAAACACTATGAGTTGACACATAGTATGTACAAAATAGGTTATGATCCGATGCGAACCATTATGCATCGATATGAACTGCTGTATGAATCGATACAAAATGCTAATGCATTGACTCATACTGAGTTAATTTTCATTTTCCAGAAACAAGGAGAGATATGTGTTGATACGTAAGTGCATGCCTTGACTCATATTGTGTTAATTTCACTTTCCAGAAGCAAGAAAGGTTTTTGTATCAATATATAAGTGCATGCATCAATACATAAAGTTTTCGTATCAATGCATAAGTGCATGTGTCAATACATAAAGGTTTCATATCAATGCATAAGCTCATATGTTAATACATAAAAGTTTTTTGTAAACAATTTTCTTTTTTTTACATTATCTTTATATTGCTTTATATTTTTATTGTTATTAATTATTTGATATGGTTGTAATAGTAATTAGGTTTTAATTTCCTTCATCCCCCATTTGTAAATTTGTACCCCATCCCCAAATGATGTAATAGCGTAGAATCTTTACATTCTGCAATTTATCGCTTTCAAATACAAATGCTAGTAATTAGGGTTTATATGGAAAGACTTAAAATCAACAAGTATACAACCTTAATTCAAGACAAAAATGCATGCAATCAATACACTCACACACACGCACCTCTAGGGTAACCCACACTTGTTGCCTCGGATAAAAATAGTCATGTCCCTCGAACGTGAGATACTTTAGCAAAGACCCTCGAATACAAGATCGTAACCCCTCGATGACCCTTTGATGTTGCCTTCGATAAATGATCTTAGACTCTTACCACAAATTGTTAAGGTATCCTACAATGTTTCTTCCTATGACTATACGATGATCCACGTCCGTCCCTTCACATCCAATGATAGGGCTTCTTATCAATCAATGGTAAGATATAAATATCTAAAGGAGGAGGAAATGAACAAAGACTTTTTGAGTAGGTAGAACGTTCATAGTTGCTTGCTCACAACCATTTTTCAAACATCTTTCAAACACACCAACACTTTCAAATGAAATATTTTCAAAAGTCAACACTTTGTACACATTTTTGCCGAAACAAGAATCCTTACAAAGTTCGCCTAAACAAAGGCACTTTTCAAAAATACTTTCAAAACCTATCACAAATACATCTCAAACAAAGCATTTCAAAGTGAGTTAGAAACTAAGAGCTCTTAGATAACTAGGATGAAAAGGGTACTAACATCTTCCCTTTTCATAACCTACTCCCCAAACTCAAGAAAATTCTCAAAAAGGTATTTCCTGTTCTTTTCACCCTTTCTTTTATTGGATAAAAGAAAAGTCGATGGAAACTCTTTCTATCCGCAACAATTGCGATAAAACGCAAAACACCCAAGTTAGTTCTCCTACCGTATTATAGTCGGTAATATAACTCATTGTATCAGCCTCCATGCAGCAATGTTGTTAGGAAGCTTTTCAAATATCTATCCCCTAGGTTGTGATAGATATGCAAATAAATTTGTGTAATCCACTGCATCAGTCTCCATGCAGTAATGTGTTATCAGACTTTGTTTTATTCATCCCCTAGGTTGTGATGAATAGACAAAATCAAATCAAATCAAATCAAAACATACTATACTAGTCTCCAAGCATTAGTAAGTCAACTTTTTCAAAATTTGTATGTTTGTAAATATGCAAAAGAATCTACAATCTCTTAGATACCGCCGATTTATCCATGTTGTCATATCTAAGTTAAATTAAAACTTTGGTTCAAACAATGGTAAGATGATACATCATCATCCATGCCTACTCTTTATACCCATGAGAATGTTGTACAACATATCCTTATAATTGTTCAACTTGTGTCATTTACCTCCTAGGTCATGATAAATATGCAAAAAAAACTATTATCTCTTTTCTAGGTATTCGTGAGTTATTCGCGTCATCATATCTAAGTCAAACTTATTCTTCAATCTCTTTATTCAAACTCTGGTAGGATGATACATCATCATCTTTGCTTATTTCTTTGTTCAAAATCTGGTAGGAGGATACATCATCATCCTTTCATGTTTCTTTGAGCTCTGGGGTATGCTATAACAGTGTATCCTTGTTTAATAAATATTTGGTCCAAATTTTGAAGTCTTCCATTATTTAATAATCCTCCGATTCGAATTTGAGAGACCTGCACATTCTCACACCATTCAATCGTAAAGTAATTAAATAGGGGCAGTTGTCATGCCCCAAATTTGTCCGCCCTTAATGCTACCGTCAAGTATATTTTCAAACTTGGATTTTCATAAAATTCTTTTGATTTACGTTAATATTTTTGGGGTTTTATAAATATTCTTTCTCAAGTCCAGTTAAAAATATAATAATTTATTTCAAATTATTTGTATTTTTAAAATATCAAATATTTGCGCACCTTTCATATACTTTCAATTGAGTTTATTTACAAATGAGTAGCATAACACAATTGCTAAAGAATAAAGCTTGCAAGCATAAGGTCACAGGTTTGAATCTCTTGTGGTGCACTTTTAACATTTTTTATTTCTTTTTTTCACTAATTTTCACACACAATTCATCAAGAATTTCACACACAATTCATCCACAATTTCTCACAAATCCACAAATCCAAAATTCATCAACAAATCAATAATCTTACAATTTTTCACTCACTCACTCACTCATTTTCATCACTTTTTTTTACAATTTCATTTTTTCAAAACCTTTTTAAATTTCCTTAGTTTTGGCCAATGATTGACTTATGAGGCCACCTTTTTTTATTTTCAATATCATCCTTTAAAATTATTATTTTTACCCTATAATGTGGAGTTGATGGTTTTTATTTGTACACTAACTATTACAGAGTAATTTTTCTACAGGATTTTTTTTACAGTCACATTAATCTTCAACTTTTTTTATATATTCAAGCAAAAAAATTCCAATTAACTTGTAATAATTCTAACCTGCAAAGTTTGCATGCTAACCTTTTATCAAATTTCTTTTTCAATAACTATTCACATAATAACAAATTTTGTTTACAATAAACTTAATCTGTAAAAATATTTCACTATTCAAACTTTTATCACAAATTTTAAAATTAATTTTTCTATGTTTCCTGCATTAAATCCACTGTCACAAACTCAGTCGATCATTGCTCATTACTCAAACAACTATCGTTCCAAATTCAATCTAAAACTTTCAAACTAAATTATTCTCTCCAAATATTCATGTTTTGTTATATAAGTTATAACACTACTATGCACCAACCCATATCCTGTCATAATACAAACCAAATCAAAAATTGCATGAAAAAAGAACAACAAAATCTGAAGCAAATTCAGATTTGATACACATCAATACAATCTATTGTTTGGTTTTTTTCCAATAAAAATAAAGAAGAAGAATCAGGTTCGGAAAAAATCTGAAGAATAGGAAGAATCGGAAACAAGCCCCAACTCACTCGCTTCGCCGATTCACCGCCACCCACACGCTTCAAAACCGCTCCAGCCTCCGATGAAACCTCGCCATAGTCAAAACCAGACCGCCACGAGGATCACTCGACCACCAAATCGCAGTCACCTTCAACACCGACAAACCCTCCGCCTCCTTCGATAAACCACCGCCCCCACGGACCGCCTTCCCGTGATGATCCTCATCCTCAAGCCAAGTGGGTTTTTTCCATCCGGCCAAGTATTTCGTTATTATTGTTTTACTGCCTTGTCTTATTTAAATTGAGAAATAGAGGAGTAATGTTTGGGTATGTTTTGGGATCTATGCTCTTGAGTTTGTATAGAAGAAGAAGAGGATTTTGTATGTTGTCTTTGTAATAGAATGAAAAGGATGAGTGATAACGGTGAAGTGAGAGAGGGAAGAAGTTGGGTTGTTTTCGATACTAACATATTCCAATTAGATCTGACCCCTTTGTTTTGTTTTAATTATTATTAAATATGTGACATGTGTCGAAACATCATTGGTCAGTATAACAAAGGAGAAAAGTCAAAAGTGCTAGCTATTATGATGATAAATTCTGCCCAGATTTTACAGTTTAAGCATTTTTCATTTGTATTGTTTTCTTATGATTATGGTCATTATGTTTGTTGGGTTAGTGATGGGCTTTTAGCATTTGTCTTAATCAATTTCACACCCTGTTTTACTTATGCACCCCAAGCCTATTTATTTATTTAGTTTAGTTTTAATTTAGTTACTTTATTTCATTAGTTAATTAAGATAATCATTTATTTAGGTTAATTAGCTTTCATTAAATAAACATATAAAAAATATATGTTTCGAGTTTTTTTTTAGAATAAACCAATCACTTTTTTTTTTAATTTTAATTAATTCAAACATCCTATAAATAATAAGATGTCCATCTTTGAGTAATTAAATTGGTTGACAGATCGTCTACCAATTTATTATTCAAAATCAAACAATTAAAATCCATGCAAACTCACCAAATTCACCATCCGCGAATGACACGTGGCCAATATCTGGCACCTGATAAGGAGACTATATCAGACTCCCCTGCTTTATGTCTTAATATAGCTAACCAACATCAAAACGGTTTTATACTAATATAACAAAAACCCAAGATATTTTTGAAAAAAGGATTAAATAGAATTACTTTCAAAATTAACCGCGAACTACGTCTACGCTCACACAATTTTCATCCCAGACAAGGTTCAATGATAAGTTCAAAATCAATTATACGTAATCCTATAAAAAAACACCAATCAAACCGCGAATTACGAATTGAGACTCTGATTCCTCCTAAGAGGATACGTAGGCATACGACTAAAACCGTGGCGAGTTCCCCTAATAAAACATTAAAACCCTATTTCCTAAAAATTGCGCTTCTAACCTTAGTATCCTTGTGAAGAAGGTAGATGAGGGGTTCCTAACACCTCCCCTTTGGCTAAGACCGAGTCCAAAAAACCTAGAATCTCTAACTTTTTAGGGTTATCCTTTATATTCTCTTCCTTAGGATAAAAATTAAGGGCGGCGTCTCTGAATTTAAAACCAGTTACAACAGCATGGAAGCCCTCTGATATGCCTGGAATAGATCCTAATTTTATATGTCATCATTTGGCATTAAATCCTGATACAAAGCATGTGTCCCAGAGAAAGAGAAAGGGTGGAGAAGAAAAGAAGAAGGCTATAAAATGCAAGGTCGGGAAGCTTGTCAACGCCATATTCATTTAAGAAATTAAATATCCGACTTGGATAGCCAATGTGGTTATGGTAAAAAGGAAGATAGGGAAGTGGAATATGTGTGTCGACTTAACATGCCTCAATAAAGCATGCTCTAAGGACCCGTACCCATTACCACAGATATATCGGCTCATCAATGAAACCTCAGGCTACAGGCTGCTCTGTTTCATGGACACCTACTCGGGATACAGCGAAATCCGCATGAACCCGACCGATGCACCAAAAACTCCCTTCATGATGGATCAGAGTAATAATTACTATGAAGTAATGTCATTTGACCTCAAGAATGCATGTACCACTTATCAATGACTAATGGATAAGGTATTCGCCACTCAAATCGGAAGAAATCCAGAAGTGTATCTAGACGACATGGTCGTCAAAACCACCATGGAAAAACAACATCTAACAGACCTAAAAGAAACACTCGCATCCATAAGAAGGTATGATATGATGCTTAATCCAGAAAAATGTATCTTTGAAGTATAAGCCGGCAAATTCCTGGGGTTCATGCTCACGAACCGAGGAATAGAGGCCAACCCAGAAAAAAGCCAAGCAATCATAGACATGCGTAGCCCATCTTCGAAGAAGGAGGTACAATAGTTAAGAGTAAATTTAGCTACTCTATCTCATTTTCTGTCTGTTTTGGAGATAGAGCGACTCATTTATTCGCGGCCCTCAGGAAGTCGGAGGAATTTGAATGGACAACAACATGCGAAGAGGCCTTTCAAGGAGTAAAGCACTTCATATCCTCTCCCCCAATTCTGATGAGATCGAAGGAGAACACACCCTTGACTCTATACCTGGCGGTCTTTGAGAAAGCTATAAGCTCGATTCTTGTGCAGGACGGGGGAGATGGGGAAAAGCCAGTGTACTTCATCAACAAAGTTTTGAAAGGAGCAAAGCAACACTACTAGAAGATCAAAAAGTTGGCATTAGAATTAGTGACAACAGCCCAAAAGTTAAGGCATTACTTCTAATTATCCCATCAAACAGATACTGAAAAAGCCAAATCTAGCTCCGGGAATGGTCACATGGGTCGTGGAATTGTCGGAGTACGATATTAAATTTACTATGAGAACCAGCATCAAATCACATGTGTTGGCCGACTTCATAGTTGAGCTAAGCAACCCAATACTGGAAGAAAATGTAAGCAGGTGGACTCTTCATGTAGACAGTTCCTCAAACCTTAAGAAGAGTGGAGCTATGATCGTTCTCGAGTCACCTGAGGACTTCATATTGGAATACTCCTTAGGCTTCAAATTTCAGGCTAGAAATAACCAAGAGGAGTATGAGGCTTTCATAGTCTGGATAAAATTAATTAGGGAAGTTAGAGTCACCCATCTAGTGGTAAAAACTGATTCACAACTGATTGTAGGAAAAATGAGAGGGGAATACCAAACCAGGGACTTGGAGTTATTAAAGTACTTCCAAGTAGAACATGGGTTGTCAAAGGTCTTCGCAGAATTTGAAATAAATCACATCCAAAGGGAAGAGAATGTAAGAGCTAATATATTAGCCCGACTCGCTATCAACTATGGGTTGAGGCTAAACAAGATGGTGATACAGGAGACCCTGGAAAAACCAAGAATTGAGCAGGAAGAAACCATGTCAATTGAGCACACCACTGGGTGGATGTCCCTAATATTGCAATATCTGATGCAAGGAATCCTACCCAAGGATACCAACGAAGCCAGTCGTATAAAAAGGTATCTACTTGTTATCTAATAGTGTCTGATAAGTTATACAATATGGGAAGGTCCACACCCATGCTTAGATGTGTAGCAGAAATAGATGTCACCTTAGTAATGAAGGAACTTCACGAAGGGGAATGCGGTAGCCACATCGGAGGAAGTGCCCTATCCGGGAAGATTCACCGAGTTGGATATTATTGGCCTCAAATGCTTAAAGATTGTGCTGAGTTTGTTAGTAAGTGTGATAAATGCCAGGTGTACTTTCCATTAATACACTCCCCAAATGTGTTATTTCACTCCATCTTTTCTCCACGGCCATTCTATCAATGGGGAGTGAACATATTGGGACCATTCCCCACTGCACCCGAGAAACCCTGATTGTAATTGTATATTACTTTATGAGATGGGGAGAAGAAGAGATTGTGGCACACATCACCATTGAAAAAGTGCGGCACTTCTATTGGAAAAATATCTTTTACAGGTTTGGCCTACCTAGAGTCATAGTGTCTGACAATGGGACACAGTTTGTAAGCATGGTTATGGTGGAATTCTATAAAGACCTAGGTATCCAAAAGATATTCACATCAGTAGAGCATCCTCAGGACAACGAATAAGCCAAAACATCCAATAAGATTATCCTATCCCGAATGAAGAAGAAGTTGGACGATGCAAAAGGCATGTGGTTCGAGTACTTGCCAGAGATTTTTTGGTTGTACCATACATCACCACACTCCACCACCTGAGAAACACCTTTCCGGATGGTATAAGAGGCTGGTGCCATGATATTGGTAGAGATCAACACCCCTATATGGAGGAGGGAACACTTTTATGAAGAAGCCAATAAGGATGATTTGAACAACTCTGCTGACTTGGTGGACGAATTCTTGGAAATGGCTCAGATAAGGAAATTTGTAGTCAATAGTAGATTGGCTAAGAGGTTCAACCTGAAGGCCAGTTAGAGAGGTTTCCAACTGGGTGACCTAGTCCTCAAAAGGATTACCAATACCAAGAATAAAGGAAAGTTGTCTTCCAATTGGGAGGGCCCGTACCGAGTCCTCCAGAAGCCAAACAACAGAGCCTAAAAATTAGAAACTCTGGACGGCATAGAAATACCTAGGACATAAAATGTATCCAATCTTAGGATTTAATTAAGTTAAAAACTATGTAATAAGGATGTTAATAAAATGTACGGGATGCACTATTTTCCGTTACAAGGTCAGGGGTTTCTAATGAGGCACCCGAAGTAAAAAATATTTGTAGCATTGTTGTAAAAAATTATAACAACTCGGTCAACCTCGCCTTCAGGCAAAGGGGCTCTGATATGGGGAAAAAAACCAAGTGCACTTAAAGCCTCTGGCATGGTCAACCTCAGCTTCATGAAAATGGGATTTGATCTAGAAAAAATCCCAAGCGCACTTAAATCCTCTTGCACGGTCAACCTCGCTTTCAGGAAAAGGGGCCCTGATCTAGAAAAAATCCCAAGTGCACTTAAAGCCTCTGGAACGATCAACGTCACCTTCAGACAAAGGGGCTCTGATCCAAAAAAAAGCCCAAGCGCACTTAAAGCCTCTGACACGATCAACCTCGCCATTTGGCAAATTGGATTTGATCCGGAAAATGCCCAAGCACACGTAAAGCCTCTGACATAAGCCGATTAAGACTTCGGCTCTCTGTCCTCCAAAGCCGGTTAAGCCCCCAGGTCTCTGTCTGCCAAATCTAGTTAAGCCACCGGGTCTCTATCCGCCAAAAGTGGGTTAAGCATATAGGCTCTGTCCACCAAAGCCAGTTAAGCCTTCAGGCCTCTGTCCACCAAAGTCGGTTAAGCCTCCTGGCCTATGTTCGCACTTAATGGAACTCCTCGTTAAGAGTTGAGTTCCATTATAAATACTCCCCACATAAGGGTCAAATAATATTGATGCTCTCCATATAAGGGTCGAGTAATATTGACATTCCCCATATAAGGGTTAAGCATCCCAAAACAAGGTAACTTTA